TTACCTCCTTGCAGAGTACCGTAGCCGCTGCTACTTGGGGTCCGTGAACCGTACCTTACTCGTATGAGGTCTGAACCGGCCCACTTATTTAAGTAATCCTAGTACTGTTACAGCATACCACTTCTTTCATCTCTTCAGCGGAACGCTCCTCAACGTCTCCTTTCTCTTAGCCTTTACCGCTTTCGGTCCACAGGCTCTCTTCTGCGATTCCCCTATTTATATTGATCTTAGTCGTTGAAGTCAAGCTCACAATGCGATGAAGAAGAGAGCTTAGAACGAGGGCGAAAATAACGGACCAGGGTATCGCCGTCTTAATACCCCTAAGGAAATCTTCAGACACTGAAGCTGCCACTATTCCAATTATTACACTGGTCCCTACAATATGGTCTTGAAAAGAGTCGTGTCTGTGTGAATATCGAAAAGCCGTTATTGCGAATGCGAAACTAATGCACGCAGCTAGGAAGACTGGGGGTGGAGGATTCTCGACGATTTGAGGTATGTGAATTTCTTCGAGTTTCTGCGATATCTGTTTCTGTTATTCAGTAGTTAGCTTCTATTCAGTATTCATCATTTCCTACTACTTGATCTTTGGTTTCATACTGTAATATTTTTTAGAGCCACATATCTTCGGATCCCTGGCATGGCTTTTGCTCGCAGGGGCTCGTTCCACCATCCAAGAGTAGGATCTGGATATATATTCAAAGTGGGGAGCTGCCAACCTTCTACCCGCTGTTTCTCAGGGATCAATAGGCTATTTTCCTGCCAAGGGCGAAAATAATGGATGATGATAGTACATCCCACCGCTGTTGCAATCGACGCTGCATTCTTCGCATATTCTACATATGAGTGTCCCCGTTGTCTTAGACGAGATGGTCTACGTCGCCGCTTTCCACTGCTTTCGGCAAGCATTCGACTTTGCGCAAAGTTTGGTGACTCCGTAACTAGGCACACAGGCTGAAGGTGTCTATTAGCTGTTGCTGAAGCAGCAGACCGATGCTCATCAGGCTCATCAGCCGAAGTGGTGCCAATACCACCACTAATCTGAAGGTTGATATTTGATAACGAAAATGGTTTTTCGGTCTTAAGCTGGAAAGTATTAGAAGAGTCGGGCATTTCGTAGTGGACTGGTAGGAAGGTAAGGAATTATTCTACAGAGAATGATCTAGGCGGCCGAGAAGAAGATGTGATAATCCGATTGAAATCGGTCTCAGCAACGAAGTTGAGAGGCTGTTCGGATTGGAACCAGATGGACATTTGGAACTCAAAGCCTTGTTACACAGAGCTGAAGAAAAAGTGAAGCGGACTACCGAGGACTCAGCCCACCATGCCCAGCCGTCAGTACCAAGCCACTGCTTGTGACTTCCCTAATAACGAGGGCGGAGAGGACATTTACTTTCATCTCCAGTTTGCGTCCACGTATTCGCAAGCTCGTCACAACCCGACCCAAAGCCCTCCCGCTAGACATCAATAGGGACTCTCGCAGGTAAGTACAAAGCGTTCCATAAGAGCTAGTAGATGCTTATCCCTGGCACCGTCGTTGGGGATCACGCTCAAATTGTAACAGAAAGAAGATAATGCAACAAGGCATGACCGTTGACGAGAAATGGATCCAATATCAACGGCGACAAGCCAAACACTCGACACTGTTAGTATGTAAATAGTGCTCCGAACGACCGCTTTTTCGATGGGATAACGAGTGGTGGCAGCACATTGCTGGAACCCATAGAGATCGACTACCTACTAGGGAAGAAGAAATAGAAAGGCTCAAACTGAAGCTCTTGGCTGAGGCACAAGTTAAAAGGTATGATTCTCATGTACCATCGTACATTCAACGTGAAGTTCCAGAGATAGAAACATAACTTTGCGTCTAGGGTGAAGGATGGCGCATTTACTCAGTCCAGATCCCCCGCCACGGTAGCATCACAAAATGCACAAAATGAGCAGTTACAATCCCGGAAAAGAAATGCAGACAGTATGTTAGATGGAATTTCCGGCTTCCCATCGACAAAAGCCCACGATTCATCTACATCCTTGTCTACTACAGGAAGTAAAGGGATGCCAGTCGCAAAAATCGAACCCGGAAGATCACGTAAATCTGGAAAACTGTGGGACCCCGATCGAGACTCACCAACTTCCAACACAGTCGTAGGTCCCTTGGGTATTGGTACTTCGCCGAGGCCTAGAATAAATCAAATGCGGTCAAATCCTCAGGTACCCTTCCAGTCACATTCAACTGTAGATCCTCGCGAGCCAGTGGCCACCCGACCAATATCTCAGGACCAGTTAGTAGCGGAAGTCAAAGGTGTCTATGCTGGTTTGGTCATGGTTGAGGCTAAATGCATTGAGATCGACAAAAAACAAGCAGCCCTGTCAAAGCCCGATCCAAGTATTCAACCAAAGCTGAATGATGAGCAATGGAAAGCCCTGATTGAACTTCATCGAACATTACTTCATGAACACCATGACTTCTTTTCAGCCTCTCAACATCCATCAGCATCTCCTGCACTTCGTGGACTTGCTTCAAAATATGCCATGCCAGCTAGAATGTGGAGACATGGAATCCATTCTTTTTTAGAACTTTTACGACATCGGCTACCAGGGTCGTTGGACCATATGCTCTTTTTTATATACTTGGCGTATTCCATGATGGCTTTGTTATATGAGACACACCCAGAATTTGAAGACACATGGATTGAGGCCCTGGGGGACTTGGGCCGCTATAGAATTGCTATTGAAGATGATGATATAAAAGACAGGGAGTCCTGGACTGGTGTAGCGCGATATCAGAGCTTAAAGGCGTTGAATAGAGCTCTCGCTATCACGAGGCCATATGCAACACAGCAACGGTCGTACTACAAAACTTTATATGCTAAAGTTCCATTGGCTCCTGCACGGGAATCAATAACGGAACTACTCGAACCTATCTCGAATAAGGAAAACGATCAGAGAAGTACTCTACTCTCTCCAATTGAGTTCGCATTTATTAGGACTTGCGGTCGTTCCTTTACAAAGTCTCATATCGAAGGACTCAGGGACGCCAACTCTGAGCGATTTATAAGAAATTTAATTGAACCGGATCCTTACACTGCTAAGGAGACTGTCGGACATGACACCTATTTTAGTGAATCAATTTCGTTGGATCGCAATGGAGGTCCCCCAAACAACGGATATTCCAGTTGTATGAATATCAAGGAGTATCTCAGCCTCTTCAATTGTTATATTTGTGCGATTAGTTATGCTGTCGAGAGGATTTTAGAAAGGCTTGCAAGGCTGCTTCAGAGGAAGAGCCGCAAGTCTATCGCAATTATGGCGGTAGCGCTTGGGAATGTCTCAGCTGCTAATGCATTACCCTTAACCCGCGATAGCTCGTCATCTGAGGAAGATATTTCCGGGTTTGTTCAATACTGGAGGAATCTGTTGAATCAATTTGGAGACCACTACTCCGGACCTCTGGTCATGAACGCTCTATGGGCTACTTTTTTAACTGGTTCATACTTCGTGATCGCGGATTGTGATAAGAGGAAATGGAGGGACACTGATCTTCTTGCCATCGTGTTATGGTGTACTTCAGGACCTTCTTTCTTCCTTGGTATGGGAGATTGGCTTTCTGATTGGCAACTGGCACTGATGTGGTTCTTCAGTATCAATCTGACCCGCAGATTTCTGGCGCGGAAGCTCTCTGAACTTCCAAAGTCTCGTGAGCTGACATCATTTTTCATCATTATGATAGGATTCCTCTCAGCAGGTATGTTGACACAGTTCATGGACGTCAAAAATGGACGATACACCAACTCCTGGATCTCGACAGCGATGTTGTCTCCACTCATGACTTTGTGTTTTACCCATTCGTGGTCTGTCTTGCTCGAGAGTACAGGTGTAGCACAGGCTCTTGAGGACGGGAGATACAATGGGCTCACTACCCGCATTTGGCAGCAGATAGCTGTGGGATTCAAGCTAGTTCTTATTGCCATCATAAGTTTCATTACCCTCCGCTTGATAATGGTTTAAGGAATTAGATGAGAAGGGTCCGTGTTGATCCAATAAAATTGGTGCTGCAGAGGCTTCCTTATCGGACAGGGTGTTTCTGGCTCCGGAAAACCCACTCTTTTATACGGCCTCATCAACATTTCGTCATTATATATACTCCGCTTGATACGTTAATTAGGACCATCTGATTGGATTGCAATCTGACTGGCCTATAAGCAAGCAGGACTCTAATTGCCAATGTAACAGTTGAACAACATCAATGATATATTGTACTCGGATACCTACTGTAGTATCTTAATATATATTCGTTGAAGAAATTGATTCTATCTGCCAAGGTGCTTAGAGCGTCTTCCAGTAATAACACCATTAAGTCTAAAAGCTTTACCACAGCTAACAACTCATATTTAATTCTTTTCCAAGAAAGAATAAAGCTGTTAATGCTCTTATCTTTCTAATAACATTTTCGATTAATAAGCCCGCTAGATTGTATCTGTACCCGAGTATGAGGTCCTTAAAACATATATTATTATAAGCATATATATGTGAGTGTTAACTTGCTATATAATAGTCACTTCAATCTCAGGGTCTTCGTCAATTACGGGTACCGATTATAGTTGAAAGTAATTCCAACATAAACCTCTTAAGAGCACAAAACCGAACGTTTTACAATCTTGATCAAGCGTACAAGGCGCCAAAATAGGGTTCACACTATATAGTAGACGGCTGGTTAAGCTTTGCCTGGGCGTCAATTCAAGCTCCGCATAAACCTTGTCTCATGCTTTAGTTTACTCGGGGTCTGCTTAGATCTACTTGGTATCACCCAGATTAAAGCGGAACTAACACAAGAAGAAACTTCACTTCAAAATTTGGTAAGGGGATTATCTAGAGATGTGACTTTTGCTTGGACAGGCGGTTATTCACTCATGTCAAATGTAGTATGCTTATATATTTACATAAGCTAGCTGCATTCAAATTGGACCAATGGCGCACTGGAAGCAGTCATTTACCAGGCAAGCAATATGGCGCAGTGGAAGCGCGCCGGGCTCATAACCCGGAGGTCTCACGATCGAAACGTGATATTGCTACTTAATTTTTTTATCATTTAAATTATAATAATAGTCTCTCTCTCTCTCGTTTTTAATAAATGAACTTGTTATGTATTTTTTTACACAATTAATAAGCGAGTCGACTAGACTAAACTACTGGTAGACGAGCAAACCTATGTAATTTTTACACCAAATTCATGATATTTAAGTTACCTAACTTAACCATTTCTTGTCTTTAGTTACAAAAATTATTAAGAAATAGTCTGAGCTAATACTCAAACCAGGATATCTTGTGAATAATTTCTACCCCTAACTCGACTGAATCCCAAGCTGTGGAGATTGTTAGGTGCCCTGAGGTCTACGATTTTTTTGAGACTTTATGTATGCCTTGCGTATCAGGCTGTAACAGTAATGTGTAATGGTTATAGAGTGCAGCTTAAAGATGGATCCAAAATTGGTTTTCCAGAGGAATAATCTTAGTCATAATAAAGGAAGTCAAAGTGGGATCTGCGCATAGAGGTAGGTGAGTAAGGGAGCCAAGACGTAAACCTATTGGGCAGCGTCTCATATGTTGATGGTGACTGACTCTACCAGCTTTCCGCACCACTGCTCACCAGCCTCACCCAGCATAGCCAATAAAGTGGCCCAACTTACCTTTGCAAACTGAAACTGAAACAAGATTTCGTGCAGGTGGGGATTTCGGGTTAAACAACAATAACCAGCCGTTATTAATGTTGTCGTTTGGGCAGATTAGCAGAACGCAAAAACTAAACTGGCTTATCGATGGAGCGGAATTCATTCTTCCAAGTTTCCAGATTTATAAAAGTAGAATTAAGTTAGTTGACTAAGTTACCATGAGTCAATAGAGTTAGTGTTAATTCCTGTTTTACCTATAAAAGATGCTTGTATCGGCAGTCTTTCTACCGTAACTACGGAAAGATTGTACCGAGCCTTTCTTCTCTTATACGGCCTTGCAGCTAAAGGCGTTCCACGAGTTGGATGTTGAATTGGCTGGACTGCCAAAGGTATGAAGAGATTGGTTTAGTAATAATCTATTTTGGAGATCCAGAGATTAATTTGCAAATGCAGCATGACAATCTAGGCATGTTATGTTGAGATGTACGGAAATTCAGGGGTAGTTATGGAACCACTGGATTGCTTGGAGGGGTCTGGAGTTATAATTGATTTATATAATAGGTTATGTTTTCCTCGTTGTGTTGTTTGAGTCACGGCAACCACTGTACTGTACGCGAATCTCTACCACCTATAGGTATTTCTCCAATCCTTCCTACATTCGACCAATTTTTTAATTTCCTTCGCTGTAACATAATTTGGCCTGACCACTTTACCATCATAGCTGCCTGTTGTGTTATATGGGACTTGCTTATTTGGGAATATATGGTTATGTTCGCTATAAGTGATGACTTACTGGTTGGCTAGTGAACTTGCATCCACGGACAGGAGTTTTGTTGCACATCTGGGGTGTGTCAAAATGAACTAAAAGTCTTGGCATCGAAAAGTAGGGTAACTGACTATACTTGGTATCAACATGGTTATCATATATCATGTTCTATTCACTGTAAGCTATTGGACCATCCTTCTTACAACTCTGTTTAAAGGTAGACATAACGAATGTGCAAATATTGTATATGTGATGGATATTATTATATTATCTATTCGTTGCAATCATTTTCTCCGCAATCTATAATGTACATGACGATAACCCCGGCCTAAATCTCGTAGCTTCTATTATACAACTGTGAAGTATCCTGATATCGTACATGTTCCCGCCGTGGAAGAGCTTCTAATATGGAGAACATGAGACATTACTTGCGGACCTAGTATAACGCCCTTTCATTCTCCAAACAACAGGGAACACCTCTTGCTGATGCTTATAGTCAAAACCAGCATCATGGGCTAAGCGGCTTCTTTGGCCTGCCTTCCGGCACCGTGACTAGATGTGGGAAATATCAAGACTACTACTTCCCTAGATGTGTAAGATCACTTCAGCGACATACGGCGCTCACTGCTGAAATCAACCGGTATTTCCAAAATAGATCTCATCCGGTGGCGCGGCTCCCTTCTCCAAGCCCTCAGCCTTGCACAGATCTCTATGATCCTGAGGAAGAGTCCAGGAGCCTGCTATATCACCTCGGGTTAAGAGCTGCATTTGAAGACCAGCTTCACTGTGCCATGCGATATGGCAGTGTAAGGCCCATAAACCAGGATTATCCGTCACGACGCGGATCAACATCCAGCCGTATCCCTCCAAGGATGCAGTATCGCGTCGAAGAGGGTTGCTGACGTCGATGGAGTCGTATGTTGAGTAATCAAAGTAGCCGTGGCCTTGTCCAAGGACGAAGAATTTGTAGCCATGAAGATGAATGGGATGGTTACTATAGTCTGGTTAGAATCTTTGTGCCTTGAAGAAAAGAGGAGCAAATAAGATTTATAGCATACCCCTCATTCACATTCAACATCAGAATATCCACCGTCTTAATTCCTTCAATCTGGAGCACTTTTTCAACTCTATGATGGAATGCCTTTTGGGCTGCCGAGGATAGCTCCTGTGTAGTATTGTACTTATCTACGAATCGCCCCAACATGGATGAATGGAGATCCGGGCGAAACGACGTCTCGTTGAAGTAGCCTCTACTCAGGCGCCAGGCTCCAATCTTGAAGTTTACAGCTAAGAAGTGAAATTCATCAGCATGCGGGGGCGCAGCGATTGCAGGAACTGGTACGAGGCCAGTTGTGTTCAGATCTCTACAGATCTGCTCGATCGTCATGTCCCAATCCTTCGAAGTTGGTATGGTCGGTGCTTTATCCGATTCGTCTCGGTATTGGATTATGGCGTTAATTCTGGGTATGAGGTTTGGATTAGGGAAGACGTTGGAGAAACAATCATCTACCATCCTTGCCCTGAGCCAGTAAGCATCGGTAGTAGTCACGTTCGTCGTCACAATCAAACTATAGCGCTGCGCTGTATTGATTTTTAAGCGGTTGATGTAGTGCGGAAGGACGTCCGTCCCATCAACCTCCGTCACGGCAAAGTAATGCTCGTCAATCTGAATCTGAAATTCAGCCAATGCCGCTGTGTTGATTATTCGAAGCCGGTGGTTCTGGTTTGGGGCTAGATTGAATGTTGGGATATAAGCGCTCGAGTTATCACACCTCCGAGAAGGAACACCAGAGCAGTCTCGTCTATCAAAGTGTGAGTAAATACTACAGAATTTCTCAACTGGATTGTTATGCTCACATATTTGCGCCATTAATCAAGGCTCCATCAGGAACGGGTTCATTGTTTTCTCGGTCGTTGGCTAGATATCCCGGAAGTAGTGAACCGCTTAAATCGTGGTAGTAGTCTTGGAACATGAGAACTCTGTCTGTGGCGTATGGTATTTTTTGATTTTCCTTCTCTTGCGGAGAATGAACAACGAGCGGCCCGAACACTCCATCTGAAGCTTGCAAGCCATGGTGGGAATGATACCTAGAGAATCGTTAATTGCTGCTTGCCATATTTTTATCATGCGGCCTTGTAACTCTAAAAAGAATATTTCTTTTGAAGCTTCGTAAGTAAAATTTTAACCAACTCACCAATAAGTACCATGCTGACCACGGATAGTGAAATCATAGGTGAAGTTGCCACCAGGAGCAATAGGACATTGAGTCACGCCGACAGTACCATCCATCCAATTCGTGCCATTCTGGAACAGCCCATGCCAATGAAGAGACGTAGCATTGACGCCGTTATTCTGCACGTGAATAACGAGCCTGTCGCCTTCATTGCATTGGATCAGAGGTCCCGGAAACTGGCCGTTGATGAGAATCATGGGACGGTAGACGCCATCCGGATTGACTTCCACGTCTGAGATGGTGAAGTAATAATGCCGGGTGGCGGGACTGGCATTGGAATCCCAGTTTGGATTGAGCAGATAATCCGACTGCGGTCTTCGAAAGCTGGCTGCCGGGGAGGGCTTTGGCTTGGGCACTGGGGATGGCGATGGGGTTGCGACTGGCTTGGGAGGCTCTTCCTCTTCATGTTCATCCTGATGCGGTGTCTCAGGAGGTGGTTCGTGAGCTATTTCTTGAGGTGGTGATGGTGATGGCGAAGGCTGCTGCTCCTGTACGAGGCAGTCTCTCGAGTTAAGCGATCCACAGGGACCGATCAACGCATTGAAGAGGAAGACAAAACCGCACACGGTGACAACGAGGATGGCGAAGAAAAAGATGAAACGATTGCGCTGCGATTTCGAGGTCGATATCGTGCCTTCTTTGACCCATTTCACGGAGCCATTTTTCAGGATTCTCTGGGCTTCCTCGTCGGAAGAGAGCAGCCCCGCAGTCTCGTCCTGGTGCGCAGCAGCTACCTCGACGTCGTCTTCTTCATGCTCTTCGGAGCTCTTTCGAGGAGCTTCAGGACCCAACTCGCTCATGGTGAGGGCAATTGGTATGGATCGGGGCAGGCAAGCATTATTATTTTCCTGCCGTGTCTGAGAAGAGTGTATTACAGTGTAGGTTCGCCGAGTATGTGTTCGGTGCTACTCTGACCGACCAGGTGGCAGAAAACAAAAAAAGTGAGAGAGAACAATGGCACGAGGCCGGCGCCAAGAGAGAGCAGGGACTTGACGCAGTGCAGTGCAGTGCAGATCCGGAGGCAATTGGATTGAGCAGGAGCAGCAGCTAGTGAGAAACTACTGGCAGAGTGCAGCGAAGGGGCCTCGATGAGCTTCCAGGATGAGGATCCAGGATACGACCTGGCACGGCTGCACCGAAGGTAGCAGTCGGGTCCGAGGGGGAGAATGGGAAGATGGCTCGATGGAGAAGTACGGGAGTACTCAAGGTACAAGAGATTGGAGCATTGATTAGGGCGCAGTAGTGGAGCGCGCGAAGAGTGAGCCGTGAGCCGTGAACCGTGGTCGTTGTTGGATCTGGTGGTTTTGGTGAATTATTGCTGGTTCATGGTTAAGCTTGAAGCTTGGGGAAGGAGTTGCTTACACACGTGCCTGGGCCAGCGGGAGCACATGTTGTCACTGTGC